TGGTGGACACGCAGTCCTGGGCACACAGTGAGCCCTTTGGGGCTCACTCTCCCTGCAGCCCTATTTCCAGCCTGTCCTCGGAGCCAGGCAAGGGTGCTCGTTGTTTATTCATGCTGGCAATGTCCTCCTAAAAGCCCCTATAAAACTGGTTTTCTGTTAATCAAAACAATGGTCTACAAAAACATACAGAGAGCTCCTCCAGAATTTATCCCCAAGCTTGAGCTGTGTGTTTATGTCACTGTGCCTGCGGGTGAGCCAGATGCTGCCCGCGAGCCTCCTCCATCCCGGCTTGCCCGCGGCTTTGTATTGGCACATCAGCGGTTCCAAGAGCCGAGCACCGTGTGCCGACTGCTTCCAAGCAGCCTCCAGCACTCTGGGCTGGGAAACCCGGCTCCTGGCTCTTGCTCCTGTGCTCTCCCCCAGTCCTGCTCTCCTCACTTCATTTGCTTTCATCCAAGAGCTCACGCCGCTCTCCCCTTGTGAAAGCGTCTGCTCGCCCATCTGCGAGGCTCCGAGAAGGGCTTTGCCGGGCTCCGAGCGGCCCTTCTGCTCCAGCTCCTGCTCTCCCCTCCCAATTCCCACACCACGGCTGTGTGAGGAGATTGTGTGCTGTGAATTAATGATTTTGAAAGACAACCAAGCACATAACATCAGGAAATCTTACGCTGTTCCAAGGCCAGAAATAAAATCTACACTCAAAGTCATGGAAGTATTTCAGTGCCGCGTTTCAGGTTTAAAACTGCTTGAGAGTTGGCAAGGATGGTTTCAGCATTTACAAGGCTCCCTGTATAAAAGAAGAAATAAAATGGTTGGGACAGCAAGAGACGAGTGATTCTGCAGACATTTGTCCCTTCTTTTAGCAGCATTTCAAGGACATCTGGACTTAGGCAGCTCAGTGAGTGCAGAAGCTCTGAAAGGCACTGGGGGAACCTTCTGCAGCAAGATGAGGGGACATGTCCATAGCAGGATCAGCGTTGGTGCAGGGGAAACTCTTTGCAATGAAACTCAAGAGCCCCCATTCCTCCCAGTCTGGAGTGTGCAGTCACTGCATCTCCAGGAACCCAGGGCCACCAGCAAGAACCTGGGCACAGGGAGGGAGGTGATCTGCAAACCCAGGTGATAGCTGTTATCCTCCATGTGCTGGTTCACAGGGCCCTGCAGTTCATTCCCATGAAAGCTTCCAATTCATTATTTTAGAGGAAGATTTGTTTTCACAAATGAGCAGCTTTTAAAAACGCCCGAATGTCCTAATCAGAGCCTTCTGAACTCAGCCAAGGCTGGATGGAAAACAAAGGTGTGCTCTTGCTTCGTTTGACACATGCTATGTCCTTTTAAAATGAGTAGTGCACGGAAAACATCCCCATCCCTGCACAAGACAGACTTGCAAATTTGTGAAGTGCTCAATATTTTCTTATGAAGTGTTTCTAACCCTCTTTTTCTTGCAATGAAAAGCCTGGCAGGGGAGAAGCTTACCTGTCCATAAATTAGCAGGCAGGTTAAAGAGCACGTGCAGCCTTACTTATCTTTCTTACTACGTTCAACCCGGCTCATGCCTTTACAGTACTGGGGGGCAGTAGTGCTGCAGTGGTGTTCCAGGAAGGGAGAGTTGGGTGCCAGGCATGAGGCTGGGGCTGGTAAAGCAGCAAACCTCAGTTGCATCGCTTGGGTCCCTGCCCTGCATTTATAACAGGGAGAGGAGAAGCATCGCTGTACCATCAGCTGCTGCAGTGCTGACTGATGGAGCCTGGCAGCAAGGGCAGGATCATTTTATAATGTGACCTGGATCCTGTATTTTTCCAGTGGCTTTTGCTCCCAGGCTCCATGAGACTTGGCCGGGCCCTGAGCAGCCCAGCTTGGGCAGTCTCCAACATCCAAATATGCTATGGGGTTCTACACTGTGTGGTCACTGGTGCTGCCCTTTGCAAAGCTCCATTAACTGGCATTTTAGCCTCTCATTAAAAAGGGGGAAGAGGCTGGAGAAAGGAACCTCAATTAAGAGATGTGAAAGTTAGAGCATCAAGAAAAGCTTTTAATTGAAGAGCAGCCCTGCAGGGAAATGCAAAGGCGAGTCTTGCTTGGCAGTTTTACAGATGGTGAGAATGTCACACTTTTGGGAGAAACGAAAGGGGGGAGAAAAGCTAGCTGAGGAGGTCAGGGGCTTTGAAGAAGTAGGACATGTACAAAAGGAATGAGAGGGAAGGGAGAAATCACTGCTGCATGGTGGCTTCTGGCTCCCCATTGCAGCCTGCTCTTCCTGGGACCCAGCACCTCCATCCCCTAGCAGGCACTCTGGTTCTGGGTGCAGTGGTGCTCAGCTCAGACAGCATACAGAGAAACCCCATTTACCCTGCTGAGTGTGTGTGACTCCACAGGACTTTCCCCTTTTCATACATATACCATATACATATATAGATACACTCCAGTCTCTATATAAATCAGACCATCCCTGCAGTCCTGTGTCCAGCTCTGGGGACAGGAACACCAGAGGGATGTGGAGCTGCTGGAATGAATCCAAAGGAGGCCACGGAGATGCTGCGAGGGCTGGAGCAGCTCTGCTCTGGAGCCAGGCTGAGGGAGCTGGGCTGGGTCAGCCTGGAGAAGAGAAGGCTCCTGAAGGGGAGACCTTAGAGCAGCTCCAGTGCCTAAAGGGGCTGCAGGAAACCTGGAGAGGGGCTTGGGACAAGGGCCTGTAGGGACAGGCCAAGGGGAATGGCTTGAACCTGCCAGAGGGGAGACTGAGCTGAGCTCTTAGGCAGAAGCTCTTCCCTGTGAGGGTGCTGAGGCGCTGGCACAGGGTGCCCAGAGAAGCTGTGGCTGCCCCATCCCTGGCAGTGTTCAAGGCCAGGTTGGACACAGGGGCTTGGAGCAAGCTGCTCCAGTGGAAGGGGTCCCTGCCCGTGGCAGGGGTTGGAACTGGGTGAGCTTTGAGGTCTTTTCCCACACAAACCACTCTGGGATTCTATTTAACTCAAAATGTGAAGGAGAAATCATGTCTCTTATTAACTGTATCATGCAATATTGGCATGACAGCCCCAGCCAGCTTGCCATACCTGCCAGGATGCTGAAGGGGCAGGGACCCAAGGGAGCAGGACCGCTGATACAGCCCTGCAGTTTTTCTCTTCCCTATTTTCATTTGACTTTCTTCCCCTCTTTCCCCTCTTTCCTATTTTATCATTCAAGCTGCACTTTTTTATTGCCACCATCCTGTCACATTGGGCTCACCCCAAGTGAGGAAATGGAACCATCAGCAGCATTTTGCACTGAAACATCTTCCACATCTCCCTAATTTATAACCTGGAGGAACAATTAAAGTCAGGTTTGAATCCCTCTGTCTCCTTAGGGAATCCATCCACAAAGCTCCTTCCCTTTGCAAACAGAGTGGGAATAGCTCAGATAATTCAGTATTTTGCCATTGATGGATTTTGCTGAGCTCTCCCCAGAAAAATTAACATTTTATTTTCTTTTTTTTTGATGAATTCTCTGCACTACCCCATCCCTGTCCTCCCTCATGCACAGAGCACAAAGCCAGCATGGGCTCGCTACTGGAAAACACCTGGAGGAGTGCAAGGTATGGCTCAACCCCAGCTTAGGAGGTCTCAAGAACATAAATACTCCCAGAGGAGTGAATTGTGGCCATGAAGGTCCTGTAGCTCTTGGGATTCACCTGCTTTTCACCTCAGCTCCAACTTAGCTGCCATTCTCATTAGGAAGATGCTTCTCTGAAGGTCCACCTCATAGGGAGGAGGTGGAAACCCTGGAGCTGAAATGGAGGGGGAACTCCCTTTGGCAGCACCTATGCCCACGGCTGAGTTTTCATTAATACCTTAGAGACTGTTTTGTAGGCAGGAGCATTGATAAAACCAGGATGTTTTGCCAATTGGGTCCCATACTGAGAACCACGAGATCAGCGGAGGGTTGTGAAGAATAGCACTGAAATCACAGCCAGGCTGGGAGCCAAATCCAGTGCTGGATCTGTGGCAAGTCCCATTTTAAGTCATCTTTTCCCCAAAAGCCTTTTCTAGGTTTGATGCTCCTTAAATCAAAGGAGACCTTCACAGCTGACCAAAACTAACCAGTCTGTTCTCAACTTCCAGCTGGCACATGCATACAAGATGCTGGGGAGTTATCAGCAAAAGTGAGTAGTTTGGCACAGGGAATAAACACGAGAAACTTCAGTCCTTGTTCGGAAAAAGAAGAGAGAGAACCTGGCGCCTTGAATTATTTGTGATGAATTAATTATGCCGGAAAAGGATGATGGAGGATAGGAACAGCAGTCAAAATTTCCTGCCTTGTTCCACCTACACAGTTTTCTTAGATCCACTCAAAATTAATGTGGTGTTCAAAACCAAACCCTTGCAAGTGCCGCCTGCCTCTGAGCCTAAACAGGCTTTGATTTAATACCCTGTCCAGTGGTTCTGTGCCTCATTTTCTTGCACCTCTCCAGGATATGAACCAGGTGGGAACTGATGGTCCAAGGTCCCGCTTCTGCAGGGCAGTGACAGGCCTCCCTAGATGATGCTGAACACTTGAAGATGGGACAGAGCTTTCATCTTGTAAGACCAGCCTAGAACTAATGGTGTCATAGGAAACCAGAAAGCAGAAGGCAAAGCAGATGGTGGGAGAGGAAGATGAGGCACAAATACTATGAGCACACAGACCAGGAGCTGAGAGCTCCTGGGGATGTTTGGGGTTGTGAGATGTGACGCCAGGAAGGAGCATCTCCCATCACTGTTGAGCTGAAGCTCCCTGAAGCCCTGAGGAGGTTTGTCCATGCTCAGCCCCTCGGGATGGGCACTGGAGGAATCTCTTCCCAGGTACTTGCTGGATTTACACAGCTCTAAGAACTGCAGATCTCACGGGAAAGCTGCTTTCCCACGAGACTTCCCACTGAATCTTGCACATCCCAGGGGGCTGCAGAGCACCCACCAAGCGATGCTAAATCCAGAAGCACACAGGGTATTCCCCATGGGGGGGGGGGGGGGGGGGGGGCATGACCTGCTCTTGTGCACACAGCAGGTCCTGTTCAAGCAGGGATGAAAACCCTGCTGGGGTCAGCACACCTTTAATTAATGGCAATTCTGCAGAAAACACCATGTGTCCAGAATGACCCTGTGAAGAACTGAGGCATGCTCCCTCCATCAGGCTTTTTAATCACATGCATCAGGATTTATGGAGACATCCAGGCTGTATTTTCTGAGCTTTAGGAGGCTCTTCCTATTACAAATCCATGGATTTTTATGCATTGGGTAATGGATTTCTGATGGAATTCTGGAACTGGAAAGAAGCCACCAGCAGGGACCCTTCAGGGCATCACTCTTGGCACCTAAAGAAGAAAAAAAAGGAGAGGGAAAATCTTAATGAAAATACGTATTTGTATAAACAATCAACGGAGATCGTGTTTGTGTGTTAAACAACCACCTTGAAATTGGTCTGTCTCAAAGGACTGAGCAATTGCAGACTACCTTAGCATGAATGATTTATGACATTCATGAACTTGGCAACTGCATCAGTTTTCCTAAACCTGGCAGCAAACACCACCTGCATATTAAGTGAAGATTTATGATTTATAAAACTCACCTCATTATGCAGAGGAACATGAATTGTCTTATGTGTGCAGTCTATAACTCCTGGGACAGATGAAAAGGCAGCTATGACACACGATTTATGTGTTCTTGCTGCTGAAGTTGGTGAGGGGAAAAATAGGGAGAATAACTAGGTCTTTGAGTTGGGTATCTTCAAAACTGTCCACATCCCTCTCCCTTCCCCCCAGAATGATGCTGTGGCTAAAACTGCCTGCTTTTTGGAAGGGGAAAAAAAAAGCCTTGCAAAGATGAATTGTGGAGGTCATGTGAATTAATGTGCTAAATGATGCCCTCCCTCCAACAAACACAGGGATAGGAAGCATCTGAGATGCCTCCACGGAAATAACACACTCGGTGTTGAGCTCATTGCTCGTATTTTTCCCCACTCTGTCCTTTGCTGATTTTTCTCACTGAAGGACGCAAGCTCCTGGCTTCAAGGAGTGGAGAGTTTTGGCCACAAAGAGACCAAAGTGTGGCATGAGGATAGGTGGGGAGCTCATGTACCCCAGAAAGGACTGAAGCAGAAAGCACGTGAGCCCATGGTACAGGTGTTTTTGGGTCAGGATAGCATTTGAAAGGCTTGAAAACAGGCGGGGCTGAGGGACTGAAAAACAAGTGCCATGATCCGTGGAGAAAATGCCCCAGGGCAGAACTTACCACTGATCTCCCACATGAGAATGAGTGAACTGTGGTTTGCGTTTCCTCATTTGCTCACAAAAGAAGTGCCCAGAGAGCAGATGCTGGTACAGTCTGACAGCTAGTGCTGTCAGGGGGCTGCTGGAGGGCCCTGGAGCCCTCTGACTACTGCTGAGAGCAGGCAAAATCCCAGCTCCAGGTTTCCCCTGCATGCCCAGGGCACTGGAGGATGCGGACATCCCCTCCTTTGCTGCCTTGGTTTGGGCAGGGCTCCCACAGCCTGGACAGGGTTGTCTGTGCTGTCCCACACCCCAGGGATGTGTGTCTGTGGAGCAGCTGCTGCAGCAGGGATGGGGACATCAGCACAGGGACATCGCTGCTGGGACCAAGGTGTGATGCTCACTTGCCCAACCAACCTCAGGCAGCTCCTGGATCTGGATAGTGGCCCACAGGCAGGACATGGGGCTCCCTCCAAACCTCCTACTATGCAGTAGGGCAGCCACATGTGGGTACATCTGATCCTTCCCTGCGTCCTTGCCAGGGCCATCTCCTTCTGAAGGAAGGGATGTGACCTGTGAGCAGCAGTTTGGAGCACAGTCATCTGAGCTGGCCCTTCAGCCGTGCAGCATGTTGTTAATTACACCCAGGGGGTTTGGCTTCTCCTGCAGGAGAAAAACATGTGCAGAGACTTTGGGTTTGTAATTGGCTGCAGTGCTATTTAAATCAATTTAAGGTGCCCCCATGCCCAGCCTCTCTGCTTGTACCCAGCCTGTGCTGCAGTTGTCTGTCCAGGAACTGGCCTCAGGAAATGAGCTGGGGAATGCCAGCCTGGCAAAAGGCAAAGGGGCAGAGAACCCTCAGCAGCCCAAGTCCCCTCAGATAAGTGGGGCTGTGGGAGCTCCCAGAGATCAAGACATGGAGATCTTGGATGTGTCCTCCTTCAGCAATGAAGGGGTTGGTTTGTGCCCATGATGTACCCTGGCATTATGGGGAGGCCGGGCTGAGCAGGAGGGGAGGCACTGGGGCTGGACACAGTCAGGATGTGTTCTGCTGCTTGGGGGGACACAATTTGCTGTTTATTTTCTGCAGTAAAAACCTGCACTGAAGCTCTTGAAGATATATGTTGGTGCTACCGGCGAAGGAGGGAGTCAGGAATGTGAATGATTTTATGTTTTCCTCCCTCCCTGTCTTATTGCCAAGGCAGCAGAGAAGGAGCATTTCTTCTTTCTAAGCATAAATCAGGGATTTTTCTCCTCCAAATGCTGCCCTTTTGTCTTGTGAGGCTGATTTTAAATTGAAATTATTGTAACTGGATGTATTAAAGAAACTGCAGGCTCTACCCGGTCCAGGTGTGTTGGCAGCAGCTGATCCAACAGGAGCTTCCTGGCACGGGCCCTGGCAGGCAGGGAAGTCTTTCTCTCCTGGCTCTGTATTCATTCGGCACAAAGCAAAGCAGGTTTGCACAGAGGAGCTGCACAAGGTTCACAGCATTGTAGTTTACAAAGGAGAGGACATGTACTGAGGAAATAACAAAGGAAATAGCAAGTACGTATCAGTGGAGTGATTTATATTGTTTTCAGAATAAAAAGCTGTATTCTTTCTCAAAAGACAAAGATGCTGCCTCAGGACGTGTGTGCTGGCTGGAGAGTTTTGCATCCTCTGAGCTGCATCAGGAATGGGAAGTGATGCTTCTCAGCTGGGGGATATGAATACAGACAGCAGGTTAAACTAGCATGGGTAAGAGAACAGCAGGCAACAGGGAACCGGCTCAGAGGGGACAGCGTGGTTGGTAACACACCGTTCTGATGGTCTGGAGGGAGCACGGAGCACTCCGAGTTCCCACTACTGTAAATTCGGTGACTCTGCAAATACCAGAGAGGGCACAAAGAGCCAGGGGAGGACCGGAGGTAGCGGCAAGGGAGAGATTCATGCCAGCAGAGGCATGAGTGTCACAGGGAGTGATCCGTCCAAAGCCATTAATAAGGGAGAAGTTAGGGAAGCAGAAACATTTGGGTCTCATGCTGGGATGATGGGGGGCATGTGGGAGAGTGGATGAGCCTATTCCAAGACCCCAGACCAGAGCAAAGGAGTGGTGTGTGCTGGAAATACCCACCACGAGCCAGGGGGAGAGGATGAATCCAGCCTTGCTCAGCAAAGGGCAGAGTGGCAGGTCTGCAGGGGCTACCCCTCTGAGCTGAGCCCTGTCAGCCTTCCCACCACAGCACAGCTTGGCTATGGGTGACCTTCAAACCAGCCTGTCCTCTTGGTAGGGCTTGAAACGAGCCCCAGAGCCACAGCATCCTTCCCCAAACCAGCCTCTCTTTGTACCTCAGCCACTTCAGATCAGGGTTTAAAGAATCCTGCAGAGAATAGCCTTTGGGAGTTTTCATTTGTAACACACTAACTCCCCTCATTATTATAGTTCCTGGGGGCACCTCAGATCCTTAATACGGCAGCTGCAACCATGTAGGGGTGAGACGCGGTTTGCTGCTCCCTGCAGTCGCCTGCATCCTCGGCTGAGTGACAGCTCTGCCACATGCATGCAGGAAGGTCTGAGCTGCCTGCACACTCGCAGGCAGCCTTCACAACTGCCTCATTGCTGGTTTGTGGCTTCTGTGTGGCTTTCTGATTTATCTTGTGATGGTCTCCAGGCTGATGCTTGCTGCCAGCCCCACTGGAAACACAGCAGTGAAACCAGGGAAGCCTGGAAGGATGCTGTGGGCTTGACCAGCTCTGTACTGAATGCCCACCCCAAACCCTCATGTTCCTGCTGCAATTCCCCCATGATGATTACCTAGGAAAGCATCTGGCTGGTGATTCATTACAACACTGGTGTGTATGAACCATTAAACATGCAAGTCAAACACCTGGATCCCTTCCACCCCTGCAAAAGGGATGGCTCATTTGTGCCCTGCTGCCCTCTCCTCACGGCTCCTGTACGCAGCAGCCCACCTTTCCCCTGCCAGCCCTTCCCTAAGCGTTTGGCAGTAATTCTGATTTCAAATAGGACTTTCTCCTCCTGCACACGGAGCGTGGTGGGACACGCTCTGTGACTCACGCTGACTCAGGGTGCAGGCTGATGCCACGCTGTGTTTGATCCATCACTGCCTTTTCTATTAGGCTCCGTTTCAGTGAGCAGGAAAGCGACTGAAGTGCAGCTGTTTTGCAGCTGCCTTGATGAGCCTTTTCACACTGGCCCACCTAAAGTCACGCCATCAGCACTCAGGGTAACTCCAAAGCACTGAGGAGCCAGAGAAGGAGCTGCCCTGCAATCCCTGCTGGTGGGAAGTATCAAAGGTGGAGAAGCTAACACAGAGCTCCCCGCAGGCCTTGTCCTGCTGCTGGCAGCATCGGCAGATGCCTACAACGTGCTTCTTCCACTGAAAACTGTATGCATCCTCTGTTTACAGTGACATCCTTCTGAGAGAGATGCCTACAGAGCTGACAAATGCAGCCAAGTGGCTTGAGGCTTGTAAGAAGAGTTACAGCCCCGCTGTGCTCCTATGGGAGTGAAGCAACTGCTCCATTGCTAATCCCTGTGGGAGCAAGGGCAGGACATCCAAGTGGAGCTGTGTTCACAGCTGCCAAAGGGCTGCCCCACTGTGATACCAGCTTCTGTGGTGCTTCAAAGCAGCTTCATGTCTGGCAACAATTAACAGGAAAGAAATTAATTGGGTCCCCATAGGGCAGCTCCTTCACGCTGTTTCTGTGTCACTCTGCTGTGGGCAGGCAGTGCCTCGTCCTTGCTGCAGATGGTCCCAGAGGAATCCTATTGCCTTGCCCTGCCAGCCACCCCCCCAAGTTCTTCCCTTTCCCTAAGAAGGCTCAAGGGCTGGCAAGTGCAAGGGCAGAGGATGCAGAGCACCCTCTGGGTCACCCAAAGCCAGCAAGCTGGAAGCTCTTGATCTTTTGCAAGGGTGCTCTGTGTGTCAGCCTGTTGCCTGCACACAAAGGGGTATGGCCATGTATTTAGCCAGCACTATTGGCTGTGTAGCACTATTTTGGGAGCAGTGGAGAACTCATCTGAGGGGATCCATGTGTGTGGGAGGAGTGGGAAGAGCAGAAGGTGCAAAGGACATTGCAAGTGGTGCAGCTGAGAGCCACAACCAAAGGAAATTTGAAGCCCAAAGCTGTGGTCCTTCATGAGCAGGAGGAGAGTGTCTCGCATTTCAGGAGTGGAGACTGAACCTGGCCTTTCATGGGGCATTTGGAGGGCTCTTGCTACCTGCAGTTTGCTGTGCCTGGGTGGCAGATACACAGGCACTGACACCCAGAGTGAGCCAGACCCAGGGTGTTGTGCCCAAGGCTGCTGCAGGTCACACCTGTATCCTTACAGCAGCTAGGGGAGGGATTTTGCGACCTTAGAGCAGGAGGATTCCCTCCGTCTCTTGTTTTGCCACCTCTGCAGAGACTGCTAAAGCATTTGCCCGCTGCTTTGCCGGTAGCTGTCACAGCCCGGGGTGAAGGGCTGCTTTGCTGCGGGAGGGGACAGCCCGCCCGTCTTGCCTCGGACATGAAAGGAGGGCAGGGGGGAGTGGTGCACGCAGAGCCCCCAGAGCCGCTTCTGAGCGCGTTCGTGTTTAATTGCAGCCTTGCCACCAGCTGGGAGTTGTCAGCGATGTGAATTAAGCTGTCATTCTGCCGGGCTCACGATTCACGGGAGCAGCCTGAAAGCAGCGCTGGCACGGCTGGCTGCTGCCCCTTCCTGGTGACACGAGAGGGTGACATTTGCACGAACCCTCCCGCCCTGCTGGATCTGGGCTGGCCCATCCCGGGACTCACTGTTTGCATAAGCAAAGATGCCTGAAGGATGGAGCTCTCTTGAGACCCCCTGCAGTCCTGATCCAGCTCTGGGGCAGCAGCACAAGAGGGACGTGTTGCTCTTGGAGTGAGCCCAGAGGAGGCCACGGAGATGCTGCGAGGGCTGGAGCAGCTCTGCTCTGGAGCCAGGCTGAGAGAGCTGGCCTGGGGCAGCCTGGAGAAGGCTCCTGAAGGGGAGACCTTAGAGGAGCTCCAGTGCCGAAAGGGGCTGCAGGAAACCTGGAGAGGGGCTTGGGACAAGGGCCTGTAGGGACAGGCCAAGGGGAATGGCTTGAACCTGCCAGAGGGGAGACTGAGCTGAGCTCTTAGGCAGAAGCTCTTCCCTGTGAGGGTACTGAGGCGCTGGCACAGGGTGCCCAGAGAAGCTGTGGCTGCCCCATCCCTGGCAGTCCTCAAGGCCAGGTTGGACACAGGGGCTTGGAGCAAGCTGCTCTAGTGGAAGGTGTCCCTGCCTGTGGCAGGGGTTGGAACTGGGTGAGCTTTAAGGTCCCTTCCAACACAAACTGTTCTAGCATTCTGTGAAGCCAGGCTTTTTGGAGCCATGCAGTAACCGTGTAAACGGCCCTGGTGCTGCACCTGACAGCTGCGTGGCTGCTACTGTGCCCCAGCGCTGGTTCGGGCGGTAGGAAACAAGCCCGCTCTGGCAGCAGCTAGCACACGGAGCCACCCCTGCCCTGCCCTGCCCTGCCCTGCCCTACCCCTCCCCAGCCCCCGGGCACACCCCAAACCCGCAGTGCCGCCGGGGAGCGCAGCTCCGGCCCTTGCGGTCTCCTCCGTAGAGCCACGAGGGGTGAGAGCGGCCCTGCGCCGGCACGGGCAGCCCTTTGTGGGGCACGGGGCGCGTCCTAGCACCCCTTGGCCAGCACCAGCGCGGAGCTCCACAGGACCGGGTTCCCAGGCGCCGAGCTGACCGTGCCGGCCTGACCGTGCCCGGCAGGCCTAGGCCGGAGCCCACCCCGCCGCAGGGGAAGCCCGAGACCGGTCGTGCCCACAGCGCACGCGCGGGACTCATTCGGCGCAGCCGCAGTGCCCAGCCGCGCATGCGAGGAACCAGACCGAGCTGCGCATGCGCGCCACGCGCCCTGACGCAAGGCCGCTGCAATCGCCCTGTGTTTTATCCTGTCCGACCTTGAGTGCGCGGCCGCGCGCGGGACCAGGGCTGTCCTTTAGCGTGCCGGTGCACAGGGACACACCGTAGCGCTTTTGTGTCTCCCCATTGTACGCCCACCGAGGCAGCGAGCTTCCGTACAGCCTCAGGGAGGCATCACGCAGCCGCCGCCTCGGTGTTGGTGTCCGAGCGGCGCTCCGAAAGCGCGCGGGCGGATCAGGCGATTAGGGGGACAGCCCGCGCCGGAGGTCCTGCGGCGCGATATTCCCCCTCCCTCCCCGCGGCCCACGTGGGTGGAGGATTCCAGAAGAGCCGCGGCCCCGCTTGCAGCCCGTCCCGCCGCCGGCCCGGTCCCGCCGCCGCCATGCTCAGCGCCAGCCGCGCCGCCGCCCGCCTCCCGCTGCTCCTGCCGCGAGGCGGCCCCGCGCCCGCTACTCCCAGCGTGGCGCAGGTGAGCGACCGGGAGGCCTGGGGCGGGGTGGGGGGGAGAGGGGAGCAGAGGAGGCCCGGAGGGTCTATGGGGCATAGGGGGAGCGAGCTGTGGTGACGGCGCCGCCAGCGGGCAAGTCACGACGCGGCGGGGACAGTCCTAGGCCTCGCTCCAGAGCTCTGCCTCGTTGGCTGTCTCCGCTACGGTGCAGGTGTTACGGAGTGAGCCGTTAATGGCGTAGCGGCGGTAGTGAGGAGGGGACGGCGCCCCAGGAGCGCGGTCCGCGGGCCTGGGCCTGCTCCAGGGGAGGTTTGTAGTGAGATCGCTCAGTTCCTCACCCCACGTGTGTGGAGGCAGCGCAGGGAAAGGCCGGGGAGGACAGAGCAGGCCGCGGAACTGGGC